AACCATTTTCTTAACAACAGCAACAACAAAATTACAAGACTCAGAAACAGAAAAGTGTGATGCATACTCAGAAAAAAGAATCAATAGAAACTTTTTGGAGTGACTAAAAGGTTAGATTTATCAAATAAAGACTTGAAGTTATAGTAAATATATTTGAAAAAATATGTTCAAAGACTTAAAGGAAATTGTAACAACAATGAAGAAATAGTGATTCTTAATTTCAACAGCAGATTATTAAAAATAAACAGTTTGGTGTTGAAGAGTACAACTGTATAAGGAATGCACTCAAGGGTTTCAACAGAAAATTTATGATGGCAGAAGAAAGAATAAGCAAATTTAAAGATAGATCAATAGAAATTATCCACACTAGACAATAAAAGGAAAGATGGCATGTATCAATATTTCAGAAAGAGAGGAGAGGGAACAAAAGCAGGAAAAAATGTATGTTTTGGTTTTTTGAGACAGGGTCTCACTATCTAGTTGAAGCTGACCTGGAACTCACTTTGTAGACCAGGCTAGTCATGAACTCAGCGATCCTCCTGCCTCAGCCTCCAGAGTGCTGGGATTACAGACATGCGCCACCATGCCCGGCTTTTTGTTTGTTTTTTGAGATGGGGTTTCACTATGTAGTTCGGGGGGCCTTGGACTCACTATGTAGCCCAAGCTGGCCTTGGATTCTCTGTGGTCTTCCTGCCTCAGCCTCCTGAGCGCTGTTATTGGAAGTGTGTGCCACTATGCCCATCTAGGCTTCATGATTCCTAAATGACATTATCCTAAAGTCTAGTTTTGCAACTCAAAGCCCCTTCTCTATATCTAGAGTTTTGGGTGGCTTGTTGCATGCTCTTGAGGAGTGCCAGCTCCTCTTTGGAGGAATTTTAAATGGTAGGAGAATAAAGAAAGGGTCAGGATCTTGAACTGAGGTTGCTGTGTGTAGAGAGGCTGCAGCTTTGAGAGAGGTTCTGACAGGTGTTTGTGGAAGGGAAGGAGCTCTCCCCCTCCTTCCCCCTGAGTATCTGTATTCATGTACAGTATACTTATATCCCATACGAAATCTGTAATCAGGCTCTGTCTTGCTCCTGACACTTCACTGGAAGATGTCTATCCCAGGAATTGCATACAGAACCACCTCTCTGTCAAGGGTTTGTTTTCTTGTTGAACAAGTTCAAGCTATCCTTACAAAAGCCCTGGTACCTCCCTTGAGGAACAATGGTCAGGGCTGGAATGTGCAAATTGGACATGAGAGAGGAGACCACCCCTCTGCATAGAATTGAGCAACTATGGGTTAACTGTGTTATTAGGCAAGTATGGGTTAACTAGGTAACTGTGCTGTCTGTGGAATATACCCCAGTAGCCATGACAACTTCTGTAATCTGTCACCAAAGGAGCTTAACGGACTCAGAAAATCCTGCCAGTACTCTTTGCCCACACCTGCTGCTCTACTCTGTGTAAGCCTTATAGGTGTAAAAAGAGGTATCTAAAGAAGAACACATTTCTATTTGGTGCTATCAAGACTGACAGGAGTCACTGAGCTGCCGCCCTTAAAAGCCACTTTTTGCTCCTATGTTCATGTTAAGAGTGGTCTGGCCAGGTGTGGTGCCGCACACCTGTAATCCCAGCACTCGGGAGGCTGAGGCAGGAGTATCGTTGTGAGTTCAAGACCGGCCTGGGCTACATAGTGAGTTCCAGGTCAATCTCAACTACATAGCGAGACCCTGTCTCAAGAAACAAACAAAAAAAAACCAACAACAAAAGAGTGGTCTGTCAAAGTTTCCTGCTTCAGACAGGGAAAGCTCAAACAGAAAATTACATTAAAAAGATACATATTGTCCATGTGTTAGCTTTTCATCACTCTGGCAAATACCTGATATGATCAGCTGATAATGAGAGAAGTTTTATTTTGGCTTAGTTACGGAGTTTATAGCTCCTGATTGGTTGGCCCTGTTGTTTTGGGGCCTGTGGCAAGGAGCATGTGGAAGAAAAATAACCAACCACCTGTCACAAACAAGGAGCAAAAAAAGAGAGTGGAGGGGTTGGGCTCTCAAGGACACATCCCCACAACCTAAAAGCCTCCCGCTAGGTTCCATTTTTTTAAAGGTTCCACCACCTTCCATCACCACCCTGGGGACCAAGCCTTTAACATGTGGCCCTTTACAGACATTCAAGATCCAAACTATAGCAGTACATAAATATTAAAAAGTAATTCATGCAAATGCATGATTTTCAAGGACACTTGCTAAACTCAACTTATCAGAGAAAGGTAGAAAAGACATTTTCAATTAAATTCTTCCTGTTGTGAGAGTTTGTCATTTTCTTGGTTAACTTCCTAATTGTAAGAAAAACAATCATCTTATCGACTGTTTATAAGCAGAACTCTCTTTTCTCTTCTTCAAAAGTTCTTTAGTGGGCTGGGGATTTAGCTTAGTGACACTGCACATGCCTGGCAAGTGCAAGGTCCTGAGTTCGATTCTCGGTACCAAAAAAAAAAAATTAAGACAAAAGTTCCTAGTTAGTACTTCAGGAACAGGCTCTTGTGAGAAGCTAAAAGGTAAAGTTGAAAAGGGGATCCTTGATCTGTGAATGAGTGATTGTAACAGTACGTGCTTAGCATTGTATAGTTCGCACAGGCAGGTGTCTGAGGAGGAGTGGACATTCCTCTTCTGGTTAAGGGTCAAAGGCTATACACTGAAGGCTGTGGGAGTTCCATTTCCAAAGTGCTTGAAAGCAATCAAGACTTCAGGCTAAATAAATCCCAAATAATATATTCAGTGGGATTGTGAGAGGGAAAGTGCTGGCAAATGAAAGGTTTTGATTCATAGAGATTTGATGATATATATGGTAGGTGGTTTGTGAATTTTGGAAGGGTTAACATACACTCAACATTAAAATGCCATTTGACATGCTGTAATTTGACCTTCATAGTCATCAGGGCACTTAAAATGCTTTGGGTGAGGGTGCAGCAAATACAATGGGAAGACTTAATAAGAGGCCATGGACTTGACACTGAGGACTCTGCTTCCGACGAGTCCTTGTGAGTTTGCTGTATGGCTCTGATGAAATAAATGCTATGTTTTACAAAGATTAATTTGGATATGGTGTTTGGTGAAGATTGGACAGGCCAAGAAGCTAAAGCAAGAAAAGTAGCTAAGGGGCTGGAGATTTAGCTCAGTGGTGCCATCACCTGCCACCCAAGGTTCTGAGTTTGATCCCCAGTACCAAAAAAAAAAAAGAATAAAAAAAGAAATCAACCAAGAAAAGTAGCTAAGGGTAGCTGCAGTAACAGCAGCATGGTGGGATTGCAGTGCTATTAGAGACAATGAGGGTGAAACAAATTTTAGTCCTTTTGGTGTCTAAGACACAGAGACACGAGAATAATTCAAGATTTTGAGGAGTGCTTAGAGCACCACCCATAGGCCCAAGTAAGAAAGCTGAAGAGGCTGTAGCGCTGACCTTCTCTGGCCACGTTCCTCCCTACAGATGAGATGTTACCATGTGAAGTCAAGATGTGGCCACTCAGAGACTGCAGTTCCCCCCACACACACACACACACACACACACACACACACACACACACACACACACACACTGTACTGGGGATGGAACTCAGGACCTTGTGATTGCAAGGCAGGCACTGAGCTAAATCCCTGGCCCTTAGGTTTCCTTCCTTCTAAATTGTGCAGAGTGCCTGGGAATTGGATTTGCTGTTGAAACAGCCAAGCCTATTTCTAGACTTACATGAACTTCACCCCTGAGTCCATTCACCTGAGGGTCATTGGTCCTGCTAGACCTGATCCACAGCCAGAGGGCAGCTGGTCATGGTAGGTAATGAGGGGGTAGAGTTTGGACTTCCTGGCCGTGTTCCCCATGCGTGGATGTATGGCTCCCTGAAGGGCAGGATGGAGTCGAGGGTGGGGAGAGACAGAGTAGGCCACCGGCAGGGGCCAGGGCCATCTGGTGGAAAACTCTCGAGTTTGAATCTGAGATTCAGACTCCAAAAATCTCCATCCTCATAAGGTCGTCCTTATAAAAGTGTATTTGCAAGGTAGGAAGATGGATGTTTTTCTTTAGCGTGTGCATTTGGTTTGTAACTTTGAAATAATTATTGTAGACATTTAGATGTGTAATTCTCATATGTGCTCTTGCCCTGCAACTATTAGAGGAGGACTTAGTTTTTAGCCTAACATATTCCTTAGTTTCTCCGTATCACTTCTCTAAATCTTCTCTTTTCTGAGGGCATATCTCTTGAACTGTCTCTTATTAATACCTAAATCACTTCTTTTGTTAATGAGCTTGCCAGTTTTTTTTAAATTTGTAATTTCTTTTATATGGCAGATGAGTTTTTGTCATATATCTATATCATCTATATCTATATATCAGATATCCCATTCTCTGGCTTTCCTTTTCAAAATTAAGCGAAAGCTCTTAATTTTAAGGTTGCCAATTCATCAAAACTTCATTTCTAGATTTTTTTGTACACTTGTTTTCTTGCGTTACCTTATGACTATGTTTTAGCTTGTTTTACCTTTAGAAGCATTAGATCATAATGCATCTGTAACTGAGTTTTGAGTGTATTGCATTGTAGGGATCAGGATTAATTTTGTTTTCTATATGCAATGTCACCTTTATTACGAACCATAGACCCAGCTATCAGAAAGTCCATCTTCTGCCCTACTTATCTGCAGTGTTACCTTTGTTATAAACCAAGTCACCATATGTATGTGTATGTCTTTACATTGATTAGTTTCTCCAATATCCCACTTAATTACTATAGTTTGTAGTTAAAATATATTTTTTATGATTCTTGATATCTGGTAATGTCAGTCCTCCAGCTTTCTTTTTCAGCATCGTCTTTACTATTCTTGGCTCTTTGAATTTGTATACGTTTTAGAGTTGCCCTGTCCAATTCCCCCCAAAAGTGTCCCTGGCAGAAAGGTCAGGTGTTTTATTTGGGAGATGACCCCAAGAAACATCTGTGAAGGAGGGAGTAGGGTAGTGAGTTAGGCATGGGTAAGCCAAGAGAAGGTTCCTTAACCTACACGTTACAGCTGTGGAGAGCTGGAGGCCTTTCCTGCAGAGAACCACTGAAATGCAGCATACATGGCTCTTGGTAGATTTGCTGGAGAGGTGAGGAAATCAAAGCGTTATATACCAATCCCTTTTATTGTTGCTTTAGGGCTGAGGATTGAACGCAGGGCCTCAAGCACTCTAGGCAGGTGCTCTACACTGAGCTACATCCCTCAGCACTTTTTATATTGAGATCCGTCCTTGCTCCGTTGCCCAGGTGGCCTCCAACATGAGACCTTCCTGCTTCAGTTTCCTGAGGAGCTGTCGTTACATGCTACCGACCAACTTTTGTTCCCTACAAATGGAATGCTGCACCCAGCACTTCTGCGCCTGCTCCATTTGTGCTCTGAGGAAGGTGCAGCAAGAAAGCCCAGGCAGGACCCGGGTGTGTAGAATGAGCGAATGCTACTGGAAGGGCCTTTTCAGAGCCATTCCCCTCCACTTGGACAGGGAAATTGAAGTCCACAGAAGGGAAAGCAGGGACTCAGCACACCAGAGGGCAGGATGGGCAGGCGCGGAGCTCAGGGATATGAGGTCTAATATCTGGGCCACTCAGAAGGCCCCTGGTGGAGGGAGAAGAGAGGGAGGGAGGGGAAGGGAAGCAAAAAGGGTAAGATGCGTCATGCACTTCCGAACTCCCCACAAGTAATGTTTATTATGCATAGCAAAAGTACTAATAAAATTTTTTAAATTTTTTTTTTGTTGTTTGTTTTTGAGACAGGGTCTCACTATGTTGTTGAGACTGACCTGGAACTATGTAGCCCAGGCTGGTCTCAAACTCACAGAGATCCTCCTGCCTCAGCCTCCGGAGTGCTGGAATTACAGGCTTGTGCCACCACGGCCGGCCAAAAATCTTTACATTCTTAATTTAAACGTTTTTTAAGTAGAGAAAAAGGAGCACCTGACCCGAAGTAAACCAAAAGTACCCTCAACGCCCCAGGTTTTCCGTCGCGATTAAACAGAGAGCTGGGGAAGCTTCGCTGGGGCACATGATGGGGTTTTGAAACTTTTTGTTTTCACCCCATAAAACGTCCTTTTGAAATAGATGATAGAACAAGTACTCTGCAAAAAGGGATCTCTTCCCAACATTGTCCCTGGTTGGGCCTGAGCCCTGGGGAAGTCGCCCAGTTCTCCCGCAGACTCCCACTGCGCCTCTCCAGTGCTGTGCTCAGGAAAAGCCCGCGGGCTTCA